TATATATATATATATATATATATATATATATATATATATATATATATATATATATATATATATATATATATATATATATAGATTATATTTTTTTAACATAATAGAGTTATTACTCTTTTTGTCATAATTTATGAAGCACCATACGGATTTCGAGAGCTAAACGATTTGGGGCTCATACTAGCTTAAAGATAATATTCTTAATATACTTTCCACCGCGTCGGACAAGCTTCCTCTTATGTGCTCTCCAACTAGTCCAAGTGTTCCAAACAACCTGGCCGCTCCACGCCATTCACTATTTCCATAATCATTCATCAAATCATCCGCTCTGATACTAATTTGTTTGTCTTGTTTTAGTCCATGAACACATTTAACCTATGATATTGCTTTTCTCAAAAAACTAATGCAACTGAATATATGCTTTTGTTATGTCTTTTACTGTTATAGGTGACATTGTCTGGTCTGCTGAACTTAATAGATGGCTTGTGGTCAAGTTGTGGAGACGAAAGAATTATAATTTTCACAACAAATCACGTGGAAAAGCTCGATCCTGCATTGTTGCGACCAGGTCGCATGGATGTGCACATTCATATGGCATATTGCACTCCTTGTGGCTTTAGGCTTCTTGCTTCCAATTACCTTGGGATAAGAGAGCATCAACTAGTTGAAGAAATAGAGGAGTTGATTGGAAATACGGCAGTGACACCAGCTGAGGTTGCAGAGCAGCTGATGAAGGAAGATGAAGTTGACATTGCACTTAAAGGCTTGATTGATTTTCTTCATAAAAAGAGGAAAGAACAGGAAGAGACAAGGCTCAAAGTACTCAAGAGGAAGAAAAATAAGTAGAAACGAAAGGAAGACCGGGAGAATGTTGCCAATAAAAATTAGGATTCACTTGACTTTGTAAAATAACAACATGGCCCCACTTATCTATGTTTGTTATTTGACTAACTTTTGGAAAATGAGTGTGCATCTTAATTAAGTTATTAAAAATAAAGAATTTAATTGATACACACGAACAGACGTTCATCTTCAATGTTAGACTATTATCACTGGTGTGGAATTTTTGGTTTTAGTTTTTCTTGAAGATTATAATTTCAGTTATTATGTTTAATTTATCACTATCGTTAGGTACTATTTTGCATTTTATTGCTCCTTATGTTTCGTTTTTACTTGTCTTTTTTTGTCGGAAAAGATATTTATTTCATAATATTAAAACTAGAAAATACAGAAGGAAGTTTGATCCTGTGGATCATTAGATGATAATCCATGTATAGCATGCAGATTACCGAACAAAGCAAGATTTCTACAACACTTTCCAGAGCTAATTTTAACAAAACTAAAACCACCCTTGTCTGCCAGCATCCTGGCTAGAACAAAAGGTGGGGGAAACAACCAAACTTCAATTTTATTGAAAACTGGCAAGATTCCTGCATGCTTTGCTAGACTGTAGGCGACTTCATTCCCTTGTCTGAAGTTGTGATGTAGCACCACCTTGTCCATTTGAGCCAGAAGCAACCTGCATGAGTGAATAACAATATCATAAGCTTTGCATCCTTCGTTGATGAATGAATTACCTGAGTAGCATCAGTCTCTATCTCCAAAGGAAAAAGCTTCCTCTTATTTGCAATACAAAGTCCTGGTAGAGTGCCATCAACTCAGCGTGAATTGGTGTTTTGGGAGTAATTTTTGAAGCAAACCCTATCATCCAGTCCCCATTATGGTTTCTAATAATTCCTCCTATACCAGTAGCTTTAGCCTTATCAAAAGCTCCATCAATATTCAATTTATACCAGCCAATTGGAGGTTTAGACCAACTAATTGGTATGTCAATCTTTTTATCCCAGTTGGATTCACGATCAGTTAGTAAGTTAAATTCAATGGACTGATTGGACCTTTTTAAGGAGATAGGGATAGTTGTGTTATTAATATTGTTGTTGTTCCTTGTTAGCCAGATATTCTAAATTAAGAAAGGAAACAAAAAATTCCAGGATAGGTGTTTGTTTGGAAGATGTGGGTTTTTCTCTTTGAGGTACATGAGCCAATTTCGGTTACTCGTTTGGAAATTACTAATATCAACGCCTTATTCGTTCCATAGAGATTGGACCAGCAGGCATGTGATGAAAATGTGAGTGATAGTTTCTGGCTCCTTACGATAAATTGTGCATTGCTCGTCTATGTTCATACTTATATGAGATAGATAACTACAACAGGGTAATTTATTGTGATTACAAAGCCACAAGAAGAATTTAATTTTGTTGGGGCAGTGCAAAGTCCATATCCAATTGAAATCCAGTATCGATGGGGTGGTGCCCTCAACTATTTCATAACACGATTTGGTAGTAAAGATCCCATTTTTATTTGTGTCCCAGGTTAGAGAGTCATTATTACAATCACTTGGGATATTAGTGGATTTAATGTTACTTTTAATCACCTGCGGAATGTCCAAGGATATTTTATTAAAATTCCAATTGTTTCCTGATCTTATGTCCCTTATCTTAAGAGAGTTCTCTTCTTTGGTAAGGGGGCCATTCACATAAGTTCTAAGGTTATTTGAGTTGGGGATCCATTTGTTTTCCCACAAGTTTAGGGAAGGAGTGAATGGACCAGGACATTCCTTGTTGGCAAATTTTCCAACCCTTAATAATATTCTTCCAAATAAAGGATCCCTTTTCACTAGGTTTTTGAGAATACTTACGGAGCATTGTAAGAGCCCATAAGTTTGTGGTATTATTGGCTAATCTCCATGCTAGTCTAGCTAATAAAGATAAATTCTTGGTTGTAGCCTTTCTTAATCCTAATCATCCTTTAGATTTATTAGTAGTTACCAAATTCCAATTGGCAAGATGAAGCTTCTTTTTTTGATCGGTCGTACCCAAAGGAAATTTCTTTGAATTTGGTCAATTTTCTTCAGAGTTTTTGGAGGTAACATTGCATATTGCATGTAGTATGCTGGTCGGCTAGAAAGAGTTGACGATATTAGAGTTGCCCTACCAGCCAAGTTTAAATTATCACATTTCCACCCGGAAAGTTTAGTTCTCATATTGTCAATAATGAATTGATAGTCTTTGTGTTTGGGGTTACTATCAATCATTGGAAAGCTAGGTATTTGTAAGTATTTATACCTAGTAATAGGAAAATACCGGTACTAGTTGTTTTCTTGCAATTCTTTGAAAAGATTAATCCGGACTTGGCGTAGTTAATGGATTGCCCGGATAGATCACATAATTGCTTAAGAGAATTTGAAATGGATGAGGCAGTTTTATTATTAGCATTGCCAATTAGAACTAGATCATCTGCAAAAAAAAGGTGGGATAGGGGAAGACAGTTATGCCCCAAGGTAATGGGATCCCATGACCTAATATCTACTTGATAGTTTATGAATCTTGATAATATTTCCATGCATAGAATAAAAATAGGGGGACATTGGATCACCTTGCATGATTCCCCGACTTGGGTGGAAGAAGTTGGTTTTTGTGCCATTCCTTAGAACAGATGTGGATGTTGAGGTGATACAAGACATAATTAATTTGGTGATTTTAGGGGGAAATTGGAAGTATAGAAGTGTCCTATATATAAAGGACCATTCTAACTTATCAAAAGCTTTTTCAAGATCTATTTTAATTAACATTTTACCATTAATCCCTATCATTTTTCTGAATTGGTGAATAAGTTCCTAAATAATAATTGCATTAGTCACTAGCCCGTCTGTTTTTGATGAAGCTAGCTTGAGTAGGGCTTATAATACTATCCATTAGAGGTTTAAGCCTATTTGCAATTATTTTTGTTATCACCTTATAGATAGTATTGCAAAGACTAATAGGTCGGAAACTGTTGAGATTGTTGGCATTAGAGAATTTAGGGATTAAGCAGAGATAGGTTGAATTAATTTTCGGGAGAATAGTATTAACATTAAAGACTTTATGACAAAAATCCCTAACGGAAGTACCTAAAATAGTCCAATATTTTTGATAAAAAAATAGGGTGAAACCCTTCTGGCCCTGGAGATTTGAATGGATTCAAGGAAAAAATCTATATTAATTTCACAATCGAGAACAAGGTTGTCTAAGGACGACAGATCAGTGTTATTAAAACTTGTAGGACTTTGCAATATATTAAATCAATTTGTAACATTGTGACTAGTGGTAAATAAAGAGGTAAAATGGTCAATCGTATGGTTTAGGATATCTTGAGGGTTATCCATCCACTCACCATTACTATTTTTGAAGAAACTAACATGGTTTTGACGCTTCCTATTTGAGGCTGATATTTGAAAGAACCTAGTATTGGCGTCACCCTCGTTAAACCAGTTAATACGAGATCTCATCCTCCAATAGTCCTCTTCCAATTTAAGAATATTGTTATAATCTTTGATGAGATCTTCTTCTAAATTTTGTAAAAAAAGGCTATGTATGTAATGCGGGAAATTTTGGATGCCTTTTAGTCGAGCTAAGAGTTTATTTTTATTCCTATAAATATTACCAAAATTTTCCCTACCCCATACTCTTACAAACTCAGTGAAGGATTCACTGGCTTCCAATAGATTTCTCCATTGGGTGGCGATTAAGTTTCAAAAATTTGGATGGGTACACCAAATATTTTCTAGATGGAAAATCTTGTTGTTAGGGAGATGGTAGTTATTTAATTTAACTAAAATATGTTTGTGGTCTGAGTGAGTTTTTGGAAGATGGGTGATAGAAACATTAGGAAATTTATTTAATCAATCTTCCTTAACTAAGACACGATCTAATCTCTCCATAATTAGCCCTTTCCTTTTCCTATGATTTGACCAAGTGAATTTGCTTCCTTTGAAGCATGGATCAATTAGTTTACAATAGTCTATATTTTTCCATAGTTTTGAAGCTCTAGATATATTCATGGGTCTGTCTCCTACCTTTTCATTACTACTAGTAATATCATTAAGGTCTCCCCCTAATAACCAAGGACCCTTGTAGGTATTGAGATTGATTTAAGGTTATCCCACATAAGATCACGATAGAGGCTTTTTGTGCTAGCATAAATTGCAGTAAACAACCAACTAAAATTAAAGGGACGAACCTGTAGAAGGGCATGAATTTCCTGGCCATTTTTAGTGAAGTGCTCAACAGTGACAACATTATGATTGTAGAAAATGGCCATGCCTCCAGCTTGACCTTCTGCTGGAACTTCAATAAGTTCAGAAATTGAACTCATTTAGGAGAGGTGCATGCACCATCATCCTAGTTTCAAGAAGGGCCACCATGCATGGCCTATGAGTATCAATCAAATCCCTAAAGTTACGACGAAAATCATCGTTGTTAGCACCTCTAACGTTCCAAAAGATTATAGTAGTGGCTCTATTCATCAGTGGTGCTTGTTGATGGGTGACACTGGACTCCCTCTCCACTGAGTTGTGGTTCCTCCTTCTAGATGTGACTAGAATTATGGCTTGCTTTCCTACTGTGGGATCTTGTGGTGGGCGAATGTGCATTGAGCATTTGTACATGGTGCTCAGGCAGATGAATATGTATTTCTTGCTTCATAATTCTGGGAAGAGAAGTATTTTTTACCTCGTTTAGGCTTGAAAATTCCACACTCAGTTGAGTACCTTGTTGAAGGGGTTCTTCTTCTTCACATAACACATCTTATTTTCCATATGTTACAAATCTGAGTAAACTTCACTAACCGTACCTTATTTTCCATGTTACAAATCTGAGTAAATTTTACTGATGGTCATTCAATTTTGAGTTTACAATACTAAAATTACTTTTTTATTTTTTGTCACATAAAAGTCATTCAACTGTGAGTTTGTAATATAAAAATCACTTTTCTATTCTTTGTCACATAAAAAATCATATTATCTAACT